TGGGGAGGAGAACAAAGACCTTTAATGTCCTCTAATGTTCTCCCTTCGCTCTGCAAAAAGTTAAGAGATTTCTCTTCAAAGGTATCCAGCTGAGTTTCTGTATAGTAGACAGTTTTCCAACCACTTTCTCCACTTAGAGGCATTATCTCAGGTGGGACTTTAGAGGGGTCAATCTCTTCACGATACTCACATAATGCCATTACAGACTTTTGTTGAGGGTGGAACATTTTCCCTCCAGCGGTGACTTTGCCTAATGCTTTGACAGCTCCTGCTGCCTCTTCAATGGCCCTTCCTGAAACCCCTTCGGGCACTCCATATAATAAAAGGGCATGCTTTATATCTAAAGATTCTCCTTTACACCAGTTAATTAGCTCACTTTGTGATGGACAGTTTGTCGAGACTGCCATTTCAGTATGTTACTTTATTTAGTTTTAGTTACTGTCAACACGTTACTTTTGCACTAATGCTCTAAAGTTGTGGGGTCTGTTTAATCTTAACCAGTCTAATTTATTGCACAATGTTTATTCGTTCCCGTAGATAAAATTAAAAGAATGCCAGCAGTGCCTCCATTTTCTGTAACCCTTGTTTCGGTTATTAACCATACGAGAACGATATCAAATGATCTGGGCCTGGGCCTGGGTCTGGGCTCGTGATAAGGAGTTACAGCTTTGTATCCGACTTTATGCCACCAATGTTCTTTACCCCGTACTATGACCTATCTTAACAAGGACCACCACAACTGTATTGAATATTCAAAAGAGTTTTCAAATATTTATTTATAAACAGGAAATAAAATTTAAGGGGATCTCAAAACAAAATTACACCAAATGACATCCAGTTTAGTACTTTTGTGTGAATAGAGAATTTACTAAAATTAAACACTTTCATGAGGTTTTACACCAAAAACTTGTCATTCCATTTCCATACCAAATATTTCTATATAAATACAATTTGAACTCACACTATCCTCGTGGGCCCACACACACACACAACACCTCCTAACCTAAACCTCCTTCCGTTGCAGGCCTGTTTGCTGGAAAATGAGTGCGGTGGGGCCTAAAAACTGTAATGGCCGCTTCACTCAGGAACTGAGCATAAAAACAAAAGCAAGTGCATTTAAGGTGACTGTACTCACAAAGTCCAAGGTTATGGCAGCATGGGGAAAGGGAATTTTGGATGGGCTGTTCCACTTAGGGTAAAGGCAACGGTGATCACAGATGGAATGTCTACCGCAGGACCTCCATAGCAGAGAATAGGCATGGAACACGCAGCAGGGCCGTTGGCTGGTAAACCTTCTCTCTCTCTCTCTCTCTCTCTCTCTCTCTCTCTCTCTCTCTCTCTCTCTCTCTCTCTCTCTTCTCCAACCTCCGTCGCCTCGTAGAGCATATTATTCAAATTTAGCCAGCTTATCAAACACTATCTCTTGAGGAATTAGCATTAGCTTTGCCATAAATGTAGAATTACACCATGCAAAGGCTACGATAGGCAGGCACATTTACTCTGACTGTTACCACTAATTAGCAGGTCGCTAACCACATAGCACATCCCGTCTTTTAACTACAACCATAGGCGTCATTTTAACCGGGGACGCCGGGGACATGTCCCCGGCAAAATTTGTGATTGGCAGCTGTGTCCCCCCCACTTTAAAAAAGCCTGCTGATGAGGATTTTTGTTTTACCAGCTCAGATCTTATACCAGGGGTCGGAAACCTGTTCCCATCAAAGCGCCATTATTACCCGTTTCCCACAGTAAAGAAAACACTGGGAGCCACAGCGGCCGCAGAGTTGTGGGCGGGGCCTACCCTCAGACAGCAGAGAGCTGCCCACAACAGGTGACAGCAGCCAGTACCGGTCGCTCGCATGGGCGTCACATCCGTGGGGGATTCAACACCCACACTTTTCCAGCTGTTTGCTCACCTCCACACCAGTCTGGTTTCTTTATGTCGCACTCACTCTGTTTGCCTCATCTCCTTCTTCACCTCCTTCTTCTGACAGCCGACGTCGGGTTCAAGGAGAGCAGGAGATGGAGGGACGGATGAGCTCGACTGAATTCATAATTTTACATCTTGACATTAGCTGTACAAAGTCTGAGTTTGATCAAGTGAAGAACAATAATTTGCAGAGGTTTATAACAGGCGCGGCGCCAGGTTTTCATTTTTGGGTGGGCCACGGTAATTTTGGACGGACCTTAATAAGCAGTGACTTAAGTGAAGCAGGCAGGTCGCGCTAGAAAATTTCGTTTAAAAAGACGTCATAAATGTGTTCCCCCGTCATTTTAATTTCTAAAATATGAAGTAAAAACTCCCAGTTTAATTTTCATTCATTTGTCATTAATATGTAGTCTACACCTGTGCGTTAAGTGGACCATCTTCCAGTAAAAGCAAAGCTTCCAGCCCACCTCTCCAAATGCGTAAAATGTGCATCAGCCGCTAGTTAGGCGCGCCGCGCACCATCAGCGACGTCAGCCCAGACAAGAGCAGAGCAAATAGAGAAAGAATAGAGGATAATTCTGTCTGGATGTGGATGGAGATTACATTTTACAGCAGCCTGATCATCATTTAAATACGTAAACCATCATCTGGCTTCTAGTCCACGCTATCAGCATTATTTTAATTGGTGTGTGTGTGTGTGTGTTTTTTCCACTTCAAACACTGGTCTAACAAACCAGACCAGCGTGTCCAGTAACATATTAATGTTACACTTCATGTAGGCTAGGAACATTTCACCTGCCGTGGCCCGACCGCTTCTGCTCCACATAAACTTTGTGCGTAATCAAATGTCTCTACAGGTGCTTTATGAACTGAAGAGGCTATTCTGCCTCAGACTGGATGCGTAATGCGTCTCCATATTAGAGACGGGAACAAGCACTGTTCAGCCAAAGTTTCATCATTTCATAAAAAGAACATTTTTCCAAGTGACACGTCCCTCAGAGAGACCGGGTTTCCAGAACGCTTCAGTGGGAGGAAATCTTATCGCACGCACCGCGGTTCTGTACTGCGCTGCGAACCCCTCAGATCTTTAGCCCACTGTCCACCGTGGGCACTCCGAGCCGCGCTGAACACAGTGTCCAGTATAAAGCTCTGATGTTCTGATGGGAATCAAGTTACCTCTGCTCATCCATGCGCATCAGTGTGCGTCGGGGTAATTCTTTCAAAACAACCAGCATCCTTGAGTTTATCCGTCAATATGTGGCAAGGTGGAGAAACGAAGGCCCGGGCGGGATTCGATCCCCAGACTCCCGGGTGAGAGTCATACGCTCTAACCAGTCAGCCAAAGGGACAACCCCTTGGCCAAGTAGCCAGGGCGCATTATCTATCGGGACACTGTGACAGGACCCTCACACTGCCACACCTCATTATGAAACTTTGGCTGAATAGTGCTTGTTCCTGTCTCCAATGTGGCGACGCATCCAGGAACCTGTCTGAGGAGAAGCCCAGAATCTGACATCCTCCAGCTCAGGAAGCGCATATGATTACGCACAAGCGTGACGCGTCAACCCGGTCTCACAGTAAGACCGGGTTGGACCTGTTCAGGTTTACGCAGACAATCTTTACATTTAGAATTGGCATACAGATGTAAAATTAATGCAGTAAAATATAAAGCTTTTCATTTAAATATCCATTCATTATTTTACAAGCCCAGAGAGCCGCATCAGATGGATGGAAGAGCCGCATGCGGCTCCAGAGCCGCCGACCCCTGTGCTAGCCTACTTTATTGTCCCCAGCAATTTTTAAACCCCACTCAAGTGTATGGTTATTGTCCCCAGCAATTCTGAAAACAAACTGACGCCCTTGACTACAACAGTTACTCATAGCATATTTCAGGCATTTACAATAATATTCACCTCTTGCAGGTCACAATTGAAGCTTATATCAGGACCACGATTAGTCGACCTTCTTGAACAAACCTCAATGTTTCCCACACTCAACGCCTCTTCCGTCAGCTCTTGATCACGTCCGTCTTACTCTTCAAGTCTGGCTCACTACTTCCACCAGTGTTGCCAGATCCAAAATCCCACAATATCGTACAGAGAGGCTTAAATTATCGTTTTTCAGTACAAATTATCGTACATTATAAATTTGATAATAACGTTCTATAAACGACTTCTCACTCCAATATAATATAACAAAGAAGGTGTTTTATATTGCCCTGTTTAAATAAACATCTTTAAAACCAGTAATATAATGCTTATAAACGTGCAGATTGTGTCAGCACCACTCCGACCTCCACGCATTGACACAATATGGACATTTGCGCAGTCCTATTTATTTCATTTCTACATAGGTTTTTCTTTTAAGATTAGAAGCCATTGTCTCGTCGCTCTGTCATCCTAGATTAGACTTAACTCGGCGTGCTCGCGGGCAAACAGCAAAAACTGGCGGGACACTGCCACATTATATAACCTTACAGTTTCTCACGAGAGTAGGCCCTATCGATGTGATTGGGCTATTTATAGTACAGACCCAGAGTCAGTTTTTGTAATAGACACAATAGCATAAACCTGTAAGCACTGAGGCGAAATCTGACTTCAGAACAGTTTAAAATTATGTAACTGACTTGGGAAAGCTACAGCAAAAGACGGTGTTACTAGTTGCAATGTGAAATTATCGTACATTTGAGGATTTTTTAAACTATTGATCGTACATTGTACAGAGCCCAAAATTATGGTACAAATACGATAATTATCTTACATCTGGCAACACTGACTTCCACACTAACTGCTGTTCTTACCCCCAAATTCCACTACCTCCGCTCCGCTCCGACACGAACGCCGGAGCAAAATCGGTCCCGTTCTAGTCAATCAGAGCTATTCCACTACTGCGGCCGTGCTCCGGCAGTGCGGCGCTGTGCGGCGCCCTCTGTTCCGGCGTCCGGCAAAAATAGAATCGATCCTATTTTTGCCGGACGCCGGAGCACCTCCGCAGTAAATGGACAGAAATCACAACGGCCCAACAGGAAAAGGAGCAAGCACATCTTCCGTTTTTCACAATAAATCGCTAAACAAAAGGCGTTTTTGTTTCATATGCACAGGTTTAACAACTTTTAACAACTATCAATGGCGGCTGAAGTTTAAATGCACAAAAGTAAGCCATAAATACAGTTGCCACTATCAAAGTAGTCACACTTTGTTGATCCAAACACTGCTGATCTCTCAACACAATGATGGGCAGATTAAAGAGCGGGTCAATTGAGCCTCGGAGTCCTTCTCCACCCACGTATCAATTTTAAAAAATGCAACATTAGTAGGCGTTGCCTGGAGGACCGAGAGGGCGGAGCCGCGGCAGTGACGAAGACGATGGCTAACTAGACGAAGCTAGCTCCCTTCACTCTGAGCAGTTATTAGAAGTGGAGGACGTTTCTCCCCCTCCTTACACAGACACTCGAGAAGAAAGGGACCAAGTCTATTTGGAGGAGACAAGCGGACCTGAGTCTTATTGTTTTGAGCTTGTGAGTTGCCTGAAACTCCCAGAACCGACCCAACAGAATCACCTCTGAAAGGTAAGTAGCCGTTAGCCATAGCATTGGATTAGCTGCAGGGTTTGTCTCCACGGCCCTAAAAAGCTAGTATTCAGCATGTTTTAGAGGTTTATCTGCTTCAGCACACCTGGTTTTAATCAGCAACAAATAGCTGAGCTGCTTAACAGTTAATCTAACCTGTTAAAGCAGGAAAACCACTGAAACGTGCTGGATAGCAGCTCTCCGGTAGCTCTGGGCTCAAGTTACAGTCTGCTGCATATAAAGTTATGAAAATACCCCATGAGAAAATTATTCTGTAATGTGTTCAGCCCACTAAAACTGCCCTGATTTCTTTATTTATTTACTGATAACAGCTGCTCTCTTGGTTCTAGGTCCTCTGGTGTCTGCAGCTGGTCTCTGGTGTCTGCAGCTGGTCTCCTCTGCTGGTGTCATCAGGATCAGGAACTTTCAGAAGAACGTGCCTTTCAATGACTCTTTCCCCCTTATTTGTTATATTAATTAAATAAATCTCAATTTATATATTTCCTGTTTTTGTTCATGTCCATAAATACTTAAACATGCTTGAAATTAGAACGAGCTTTTAACAGTGAGGTGCTAGCTTAATTAATCACAATAGAGCTAGTTAAACATGCAACAAAAATGTGATATTCAATGTAATTTATAAATATCCATTAAAATATCAAAACGAATCTAAATGAGATATTTGGCAGCACAAAAAACTTGTCAAACACAATATTTATTATAATTGTAGGCAGACAGGAGACAGAGCTGATGGAGGTTCTCAGTCATCGAAGGATGGCTGAAGGCTTTCCAGGAACAGGAGATGTGGTGTGGTCTCTTCTCTCTCTATTCAGCAGGATGAGCTGATAGGTTACAGGTGTGTGAGGACATCCTCATGCTGTCATAACCAGATGACAGGGGTTATCAGGTGATCAGCCAGGCTAATGAGATGCAGAAAGAAAACAAATTCAGGACAGTGTACAATATGTGGTGTTGCTCACCTTATGTGCTCTTATAGAATATTAATGTGTGCATGCCTCATGGTGTAGAGTCTATATTTTGCTGAGTGTCCTGCAATAATGCATGTTATTAGTTAATTTACTTTTGATAGCAAAAACAAAATATTTAATGTAAAAGTTATTTTCCAGGAGAATCAGCTCACGCGTCACCACCAAGTGTCACAGGGGCAGAATCAGTAGCCTCCTTCATGATGTAATCACATACTTATTTAATTGTTAATATCTTAAAAATTCTGAAATGTTTTAATTTTTTTTTAACCTTGAACAGTTCACTGAGCTTGCACTGTCACTGAGGTGGAAGCTGGAATCAACAGCAGACACCTCACATCTTGGTCTTTTCAGGGGGTCTGGACGCTCTGGGACCTTCTGGAAGATGAATTTTCATCATGGTCCCTGTGGGTCACCAGACACACTGCGGCTGTGAGCTCTAAACTGGATGGCTATGTAAAAACAAAGAAGCAGCACATTTATAAATGTTTAAAAGAGCATAAAATCACGTGTAAAAATAATCTGTAAAACAAATTAAAACTAGAAGGTGATAATAAAATGTTTACATAGAAGATTATTAAAAATAATTCACCTTTGCTACAGGGAAGGTTTCACATCAGCCTGGACAAGTACATTCATGCAGCTAAATCAGTCTGACAGCCAGTGTCTTGGGTAGATTTAGCCTGAAAAAAAAATAGAAGCACATTGTTGTTGGAGTTTATAAAGTCAGATAATATATAAAAGAATCTCCTATATAGGCGCTTTATAACATTCCTAGTGTGTGATCGTTGTTATAACGTAAAAGTCCATCACATATGATGTGGAGAGCCTGAAATGCGACCTCCTGAACAGAATTCCTTACAGAACCTGTTCACAAGCTGGATTTCACGCTGTAATGCTGTCTGTCAACTAGTGCAGCGTTAGTTAGAGACACTGTTGCAGAATTGCCGACTGACTAGCTAAAGGAAGTGAACCACGTCTCTCAGACTTTGCATTTAGGTAGGGAATTGTCTTTAGAAGATGTTAAAACGTTTATTTAGCTGACTCACCTCAGACTGGAGCCCGCCGTGGTGGGGGAGCAGAGTCGGTGGGCTGCATCTAAATCGCGGAAGAGCCACGGTGGGCAGCCTCCCTCTTCAAACGGAGGCGCGCAGAATCGCGGGTAAAATGCCCACAGAGTCACCGCAAGCATACTACACTACACCTACTCACCAATACTAAGACGATATGGAACACTAAACCAGAAATACTTTCCCAATTACACTAACAGCCAAACACTAACTCAACTACAATATCCAACAGCCAAATCTAACACTAAATAAGTATTTATAACACTAAAAGATATGCTAAGACTAGGATATGCTAATGCTATATGCTAATGCTGAACTACCGCTGACCTCCTATGCTCGCTTGCAAATCCAACTCCCACTCGCCACAGGGCGTGGCCGAGACGCTCGTTGCTTTTATAACTTTGGCACGGAGCTGCTACGTAGTACTCTACTGGTTTACGTAGTACTTTACTCTTTAGCCATTGGCTAAAATTTATTCAAAATGACAAAAATTCTATGTTTTCAGCTGAAGGTGGCGCATTACTGTGGTTTTTAGACAGAATTTTTAATTTTTAAAGAAAATGCACCAAAATGCTAAAATAAAGAATGCACACATTTAAAACACTATTAGACACTCATTTATACAGTTCATCAGCAAAAAAAAGTTAATTTAGACGTTACTTGCTCTTTAAACAGCTCATGCCGATGCTTCTCCCGCACAACGGGTGTTTGGATCTAACTTCCGCGTTTATTGCTCGGACTGTATCGCAAGATCTCGAAAATCCCGCGCATGCTTGTTTGCCCCCCTCAGGTCTCCGCACCGGAGCGGAGCCGTTGTAGAGCGGGTACCAGTAAAAATTGAGTTCGGAAGCGAGCGGCTGCGGAAGGCGGGGGCGGACCGGAGCGGAGCGGAGCGGAGGTAGTGGAATTTGGGGGTTAGTCCTGCCCCTTACCAAAGAAACAGGGCTCTGATTGGCTCGTGAGTACAAATACAACCACTGGAAATACAGAGATTGAGTGATTGACAACTGACCGTAAACAAGTCAGGTTACACACAACAGCTCTTTTTTTTTTTTAACATTAAACATTATGAATTAAGTGATTATCTTTTAGGCTCTGTACCAGAATAAAGTTTTTATTTAATTTTTATTTTTACAGAGCTACATCGCTACAAACATATTAACAAATAGTTACAGAAATAAATACTGTATATGATGTCAGCATTTTCTCCACATTTTCTAGATACTGCACCAGTACGATCTCTAAAAAGACCTCAAATGGTCAATTAAGTTATTTTATCTCACCTTTCTGTCTCCTTTCTTTTTTAAATTTATTGTAAAAATATTTCCTAGTTGGTGTGGTGATAAAACAGTTTATGAAAATTTCCATAAATGTCTTTTTTATATTAATATTCATTATTGATTAATAGTTCTCTCTGTTTTAATGTCAGGTTTCTAGCAAGTGTTAGAGATTGTTGTGGTGTTACCTTAATCAAGTGGTCTTTTTTCCTTTTTACTAAATACTTTTTAGAATACCAGGATAGGAAGGATGGTGTAGGTTTACGTTTATTAGATTGATGCATAAATATTACCAACAAGAAAGTGTATGTTGGTGTGTGTCAGAAACAGCGTAAGGCTTAATGTCTTTTCCAAAAAAAAACCAGGTGATGGGCCGGTCTCCAGTCCAAATGCCCCGGCTGAATTTTTTTCCCAGTCCAGCCTTGGTGCCCTGGTCATGTGTAAAAGCTTAAATTGACCTAAATATTCATTTATTTGTTATCTCTTGATGTTATAGGTCCCATCACAGGATGCTGGGTGTCTTCCACATTCATAAACACCCCAAAAATGGCAACAAATGATCATTTCCCTTGCCAAAAATTGATCAGTGTCCTGGTCACGTGTAAAGGGTTGAATTGACCTAAATATTATATTATATTTAGGTCAATTCAACCCTTTACAGGTGACCAGGACACTGTAATCAATTTTTGGCAAGGGAAATTCTTTTTTTTTTTTTTGTTGCCATTTTTGGGGTGTTTTTGATGATACAGTAGACAGTATGAGTACCGTAACATCAACAGATAATACATAAAACCCTTATTTGGTCAATTTTAGCCTCCATGAAAATCTGAGCAATTCAATCACTTTTTGGCAAGTAAAATGCCATTTTAGTTGTTTACAATTAAATCATCAATAAAGAATTTAAAGATATTTTGAGGCGTTTCTTATAGGTAAACAGGAGGGTGTAGTCTCTATTTGGCAAGTGACAATCTTAATTTTATGTGCTGAAGTGCTTTTATCTTGTTACTTTTAAATAGAGCAACGTAATGTATAGATAGTTACCTTCACAGTGTCATTAAAACCAAAGCTTGATCAGATTAAATACTATTTTTCAAGTAAAAATGTGCCCCAAACTAGTTAACTGTGGCTCCATGTCAAGTGGACTAAAGAAAGCAAGGGGAAAAGAATCAAATCACTGGAGAATTGTTTATTTACATTTATACAACGTTTACAGGGCCGGCTCTGGGTAATTTGGTGCCCAAGGCGAGACTGCCCATTTGCACCCCCCCCCCCCCCCCTGCCCGCACGCCTCTCACCCAAACCCAAGTCCACCCACCCACCACACATTGGAAAAAGCAACTCCACAGTTATTCCTTAGTTACTCATTTTTATTTTAAACATTCACACAGCAACTCTTTAAAGTCAACAGCCTGACGAATAAATGTAAGACTGAAAGATGAGAATATTACAATAACCAACAACTCAAAATGTTGTGCAAATGCCATTGGGGGGGGGGGGGGGGGAATACAAAATCAAAAGCAGCATTAAACTGTGCAATCAAAAGCAAAACTCAAATATTAAAGTGTCATCATAAAGAAAGTTCTACTTTCCATTTTGTTCAACTGCTGTGGCCAGTCAGCAGGATCAATGGGGCCAGCAGCTCATGCATGTTCACAGACATCTGTTGAAGCTGATGATGGTGTCTCTTCAGGCTGTTGGACTGGAGCACTGAGTCTGCTGGTGTTGGGTTCTTCTTCTGTGAGAAAATAAACACACACACACACACACAGACACACACACACACACACACACACACACACACACACACACACACACACACACACACAAAGCCACTTAACCCTCTGATGCATGAATTAAGAACAGTGCCACTTTCACGTTCAATATTCCTCAGTCATGTGCAGTGATGCTTTTCATTACTTTTCATGTTACTGGACTTTTTATTTTATTGAAATTTTTTTAATCTGTTCTATGAAAACATGAATAAAATTATCAAAAACAGGTGGAAGTGAGCGCATCCATGGGGAATATTTGAAAAGACTTATGTCTCACTCTCAGGTGCTCTTCAGCATCAAATACATTGTAGAATATGAGGAAGAAGAACCAGTGAGGCACTCTGAGGATTTCATTTATTAAACAAGGAAACACCGACGCGGGACCGGCAGCAGCGGGGACTCCTCCGCTGCCGCCGGTCAGCGGGGGGAGTCCCCGCCACGGCCGCGGCGGCGACGCCCGCCCGATGTGTCGGACAAAGTTGAAATTTTGCTACACCCACACCTAACGTTCTTCTGATGTGAAAATATCAAACTCATATTGTATGCGTACTTAAAACTTGAATCGAAGTTCATAAAAAGGCTGCAATCATACTCCAAAAAAACGGTTAAAAAAATCTTACATTCTTCATCATCACAGTGAGACTCAACAGGTGTAGGACAGTCCTGCCCACTTGGTGTCAACAGGTGCCTGTGTGGCTGCAGATATTGTCTCACTGCATCTGGACACGACGATTCAAAAGTAAAATTAATTGGTTAAAGTTTATGAGATACTGTATTGTGTAAACAGCTAGCGAGGGTCCATCCGTGGACCGTGCGTGGCAGGAGAGGCAGTTAGCTACAATTGTAATGCAAAAGGTTCCTTTGCCAAATTTATAAAGTCTACATACCTCTGCTTTGGGCCCGTTTTGTTTTTCTTCCTCCTTCCTTCGCTTTTGGAATGCTTATCCCGATGGCTTAGGTGCTCTTTTCATTGTAAAATATCAAAAGTTTAAACGCGATGACAGGATGTCCTTCTACAGTGCTGCCCAAGCACGTGATCTACCGGCACCCTTAACGGTCAAATGCGTCGGAGCGGTGGCCCAAGCGGGAGCTCGTCATGCAGCCAGATCATTAGAATTTAAATATTGATGTTCTAATTTCATGTCATTTCAGAGGAGAATTTTGAGTATGTAGAGAGTGCATTTCATATAACAAACATAAATGTAAAAAACTTTTTTTTTTTTTTTGAAATTTTGCGCCCTATCCATCAGATGGCGCCCCAGGCGGCCGCCTGTGTCGCCTGTCGCCAAAGCCGGCCCTGAACGTTTACATTCAATACAGGGCGCCATTTTACATTGTTTATTTATTTTTTAGTATCAAGGCTGTAACATAAAGATAGCCAGTTCTTACCACAAACCATCTTTCAATCGCAAATATTGCAAAAAGGATATATGCTCATTGTGAACGTTTAGGACAAATAGCAACACTTAAAACATCTTCCGAACTGAAAAAACTAATATTTATTGTATTTATTTATTTATTGAGAACCTCATTAGCTCACACCATAGTGTGGAGCTATTCTTCCTGAGGTCTCTTTAAATTTCATTACAAATATTTTAACCCCCCCCCCCCCCCCCACACACACACACACACCCAACAACAACAAACTCCAGGAGCTCATTATAATCATACCAGCTCAATTGCTATAATGATATACCAATAAGTTACCACACACTTCAGAGTTCATGAAAAATCTAAATAGGTGAAAACGGAGAGTTTACACAGAGCAATAAATAACTATATTCAAGAATCAAAAATCATATCACATCACATCCATAACAAACAAAAATTATAGAAGCTGTCATATCAGTCACATTTACAATTCACTGTGCAAAATTTACTGTTGTGTAAACAAAAAAAGCTTTAACTTCTTTTGAAAACATCTTCTGTTATTCTCTAACAAAAATCTCGGTATGGCATTCCATGCAACCATGGCTCTGTAATAAACTGCTCTTTGCCTTTGATTAGTTCTGCAGCGCGGTAGTGCGCACCTTATGTCACTTGTCTGTCTCGTCGTGTAATCATGATTGTCTGAAAAAAATGATAACTTGTCATAAATTATTTTAGGTATTTTTGTAGTTATTATATTTCTTATAAATGTTATCAGTGAATACTTTAATCTACATTTCACTGTTAACCAGGCCAACCTATCATGCATCATACTTACATTTGTTCTATAATTACAACCCAGAACAATTCGTGCAGCTTTATTTTGTGCCACTTGTAACTTATTTAAATTCATTTCACTTGTATTAGACCAAATAACTGATGCATAATCTAAATGAGACAGTAGTAATGTTTGAACTAAAGTTTTTATCTGCAAACGAGGAATAAATTTACAACAATATTTGATTGTGCCCATACTTCTTCCAAGTTTCAGCAGGACATGATTTATGTGACTAGTATTTATATGACAATCTAGAATCCACAATTACCCCCAACAATCTTGCTTCTTCTACCTGCTCTATCTCTATGTTACCTAGCTTCAAATGCAGTCTAGGTGTCATCTGTAGTGTAAATGTATTGCCGACTATCATGCATTTAGTTTTTTCTGCATTGATTTCTAGTTTGTTCATTCTAAACCATTGTGTAACTAAATCCAACTCCTTTTTTAAAATATCATTTAATTGGCCTTCTGTTTGTGCTGATGCAAATAATGTAGTGTCATCTGCATATATAGCCATGGTTGCATGTTTTAAAATCAAAGGTAAGTCATTAATAAAAATAGAAAACAAAAGAGGGCACAAACAACTGCCCTGTGGCACTCCACAACCCGTTTCAGAATAACTGCCATTGAAATAGAAGTTGAATTTGCAATTCGTTAAATAACTTTCTGTCCACTTAATGGCGGACGACTGAAATTTATAACGTTCTAATTTTTTTAATAAGATTTTATGATCAATCACATCAAAAACTGCACTCAAATCTAAAAATATAGTACCAACTAACTTTTTATCATCTATTTCTTCTAACCAATGATCAGTAATCTGAGCAAGTGCAGTAGTAGTGGAGTGACCCGCCTTATATGCATGTTGATAAATTGTGTTTAATCTATTTGTTATAAAATATTCTTGCATTTGTTCATATGCTACTCTTTCCAAAAGTTTGCTTAATGCTGGTAGCAAACTTATTGGCCGACTATTTTTACCAGACAGTGGTTCTCGGCTATTTTTGATTAAGGGAATTACTTTAGCCTTTTTCCATTGGGCTGGGAAAATACTTTGATTAAAACTTATGTTAATAATATGTGAAACTGGCAGTAAAATAAAATCTGCCACCAATTTTAGCAATCTTATATCAATATCATCCATTCCAGGGGTTTATCTTTACTATTTAAGATTAATTTTTTAATGTAATCCTCTGACACCTCCATAAACTTAAACTCACAGTCTTTCATTTGCATTATATTATCCTTAATTCTTTGATAAGATGTATTTTCATCTTTTCTCTCCTCCCTGGTATTATTCAATGTTTTAATTTTATTGATAAAAAACAGTTTTAAATAATCAGCTATTTATTTTGGTTTGGTTAAAAAAACTCCATCTGCCTCTAGAACAGTAGGTGCCTTCCTTTTTTTAACCCCCATAAGTTCATTTAAAGGAGCATGGGGCAGGATGAAGAAACAAAACTCTTTAGCGACGCACTCGGCGCTGTGAGTAACTGCAGCCTGGCACGAGAGCGCGCACAAACTCTTCACTAGAAAAAAAAAGTTACAGTGATGTACGGCCAGAGCGCGGCTCGAACAAGGCACCGTGTCGAGCGATGAAGTAAGTAACATTGTTACTTTAGTCTAATATTTGTATAATTCCATGACAACATTAGCTTTTTAATTTAGCCATGACACTCGTGATGTAAAGCAAGTGCTGCTTCCTATGAAATATTCATAAGCCAGTTTTGTGACTGGCGAGCAAGACAGTAACATGATGCTACTTTATCAGCATAAGGCTTTGTGGCTGCAGGTGATTTCTGATGTTTTTAGACAAATTACAGTTATTATTTTGCACTAAGCTTACTAACAAGCTAATGTTATTGTTTATACATCATGTAAGAACATCCAATTTCAAGTCACTGACATCATTTGTGAAACCAATTTCATTACAGGACAGGCATCACAACAATGTAAATAAGAACGTAAATATCAATGCTTAGTTCAAAAATGCATCAAAATATCAACAAGACCTACAGGGTAATAGTCATTTTTCTATTACTGTCATTGATTTTCAGGAATTCACATTGGAAGGAGTGATGGAAGACAGTTCAGATGGAGTGTGCCCGAGCCTGCCACAGACTTTGATGTGTCGTGGGAAAGTTTGAGACCAGGGGCTAAAGGAAAGGGGAGAGGAAAAGGTCGCTCCGAGGGTCGGGGAAGGACACGCTCAAGGGGTGAGGGCAGCAGGTTGAGGTCCAGAGCTCCTTCAAGAGGACCAGGGCGCCGGGGTAGGCAGCGAACAGCTTTCAGAGAAGAGGACCGAGACCGGCTTGCACAGCTGAGAGCTGCCAGTATAGCTGAGATGCAGGTTGGTTGTAGCCATTTGTGTAAAACAATAAAATAAAATAATAGATGCCAAAAACGAAAACATCACTCACTGGAGATATGAATCTAGTCATGTAAACACATGCTCTTTAATTTCTAGACAGCTTTACAACACCCGAGCCAGGAGGAGAGAGATTATATTCTCGAGAGAGTGGTGACCCGTCTTCCAGGGGTGATGCTGGATATCCTGGAGTTTCGGCAAGAGACGCCAGGACACCATCTTCCTGACTGAGGGCACCCTAACCCAAAAATCCAAACCGTTTATCTACAACTACAGTAGTTCCAACACAGCACAATACCTCAAAATAACTTTAGCTGAAGACAGCATTTTCACCCAAAAATAAACAAACAGTTTGTGCAATATATTTATTTTTATTTATGTACAAAAAAGTTCTGTTATTTGCATTTGTACATAGTATTTTTTTCTTAATTTCTAATAAATCTGTGAGCATTAAAGAAGTAATTCCTGTCTTTTGATGCTTCACGTAGCTGGGGCCTTTATGGAGAGAGAACAGCAGCATTAGATCATACATAGATTACATGAGAATGCAATTCTGGAAACTCTCCAGTTCTGAAGTTGACCTGTAAAAAAAACAAAAGCTACAACTTTATAGATTATTAGGAATCACACTTTTGATTGCCTTTTCACCCACAATTGTCATTTCTATATGTAAATTGTCAGCTTTGATATTGACACTTTAGCTTTTTTGCTTATGAAAATGTTATTAATATACCTAAAGGTCAGATTGGTGACATCCTTCAACCAGCGTCTGTTGAACATGATTCGTTGAAGAGCCTCGTGTGGTGGAGATCATGGTACCATGAGCTCTTTAATCACTGGCCGTTGCATCAAGTGGTCCATGGTCACATTTGCCACGGGTCCATTCATGCTTCCCTGTGACATGGTGAAGCACACCCACCCACATGGCCTAACAGAAAAAATAAGTTTTATTTGAAAACTTTACATGTGACAGAAGCGCTCACCAACAGAAACACGAGAGCTGGTACTATTATGAAAAGAAAGGTAATTATGTCAATGTGCATTGTTGTCTTGTTGTCCAAAAGATGTCACAATACTTACATTAAACATATCATGATGTTGTGCCTTCTGGCAAATGTACCAAAATTGGTTGAAGATGTCATTCAGCCACACAAGTAGGATGGAAATTGCCTTTAGGATCCCAGCCTGTGAACAAGGATAAAACAACAATTCCATCTTTTAGTTCTTTTTAAAACATAGAAGGGTTTTATTTACCTGCAACGTTTTGTTTGCGGCTGCAAATTTCGTCAGCCTGACAAAGTTTTCATAACAGTTCTATTCTGTTATGAAAATAATAAATAAAAGTAGAATTAATATATTGTTTTAAGACTTTGGAGTTTAAAAAAAGAGTGTAGATAAGAATAGGGCTGGGCAATATGGCCTCAAATCTATATTGCGATATAATCTGAAGCATGTGCAGTAACGATATATTGCGATATATTTTTTCAACTGTTTATAGATGTCAAATTGACATGCTTTTAGATATCCTCATGTGGCAAATATGTGCCACTTGAGGCATATAGGCCTCCTCCTCCGCCCACTCCATGCTTGCAGTCACTCCATTCTGTTGTCCCATCGTCAGCAGGGTGCACATCTTAGTGACGTCATGTGTTATCACAATATCGCCGTATTGCGATATAGCCAAAAACTATCATTACCTGTTACAGATGTTGTCTGTTTTGTGGCCACAAGGTGGCCTCAGAGCTCCTACCTGTTCACCTGGCTCTAGCTGAGCCAGGTGTCGCTAATCTTCTCAATCAGGGAGCTTCCTATAAAAGGCAGCTCCCTCTGTCATTCGAGGAGGGAAGCTTAGCAGAGGCCTGGTGTTAAAGCGAGTGTTCCTCTTTTTCCCTCCTAGCAAACCAGATGTTAAAGTCTTCGTTTTGATTACCTATGTGGTACACTTCCTAGTAGCCAGAGCTCGTTTTTGTCTCCATTAGAATACTCTTTAAAGAGTTCAGCTCACCCTTTTGGTGTAGCCTTTTGTGTTTGTCTCATTCCTTTACTTTCCCGGATTAGTACCGGCGTTTTGTGTTTATTAATAGTATTGTTATTTACCCAGTATTGGATGATCCTTCTGTTTAGTATTGTTAATTCCCCAGTGGGACGTCCTTTTGGTTTTGTATTCATTTTGTCCTAGCCTGCATAAAGCAGTGTTTTTTAGTTAATAAACTCCTAAGAGAGTAAATCTTGGTTTTGTCCGGTAATTCACATATCTTTCTTTACGCCCCCTTTAACATCATCTCCTAGACGAGCTGGGGGCCATAAAATTACCCAATTTTATATCATTTCTACCTTATATCGTTTATATTGCCCACCCCTAGATAAGAAGACATTGCAACTCACACACTGTTGAGTAAGTTGTTTGCTTGGTCCTCATCAATTTGGACTGCATCCGTAGCTAGATCCATGGATTTGAAACTACAGACAATACAATAATATTTGTTGTACGTAAAGATAAATACTGGAACTTACCTGAAATGGTACTGATTCTAAAGAGATAAATGTGGAGCCTAATACATCTGTCATTAATGATTTCTGCAAATAACAACAATCTGCTGTGAATTGACACTTCACAACATAAATAAATATATATAATGACCTATATTTGCTTATCTATTGTGTTTTTATCTTTTTTGCACATAGTACAGCAGTAATTTCCTGCGTATATGGCAAGACTTCTCATGAACAAATTTACCTTTCTTCAAAAGGATCCAAATCTAGGTCATCAGCACCTCAACACCAGCCATTAGAAAATCTTCCCTGTAAAGATAATGTCAGAAGTGTTTGGTGGTGTGATGTTAGTTCTGAACCAAGTGTGGATATGCAAGGTGTAATTTAATGTATGAAATATCATAGCACAAAAACGTGAATATTTGTTTTACAGAAAAGATACTAACCCCTCAGACACAGGTTCAATTGCTGTTCTCTTACTGGGTGTCGAGGTTGCCTTCACATAACCTCCCTGAATTGCAGTTTCAGGAGCCTGCTTCTTCCGGTAGCTGGAAAACACATTTTTAAACAAAAATGTCAACAAGTTGGTTGAGACTCTACACCTTCTGTTTACATAGATCAATAATGGCTAAGCATCTTTACCTGTGGCACAACTAGTAATATGAAAATGCATGTCAGTTATAAAAAATTTATTTATCATTTTCACAAACATATTTTATTCTGACCTACATTCAACTGGACAAATTTAGAAAAATAAACACAAACTTCTGCACAACTTTACTTTTAGTCAAACGTGTTGTTATGGCTGACTTATTATTTACTCTTTTGTAGCACAGCAATAACATTAGGGAAAGATATTCTGATGGGGTTCTGTTACACAAACCCCACGAATAACATTATCTACTAAAGTAACAGTCCTGCTTAGAGGTTGGACTATAGATCAAATATGACATAATTCTAAAGACTCATCTTTGGTTTGGAAAATGTCCGTTCTCTTCTGTAGTACATACAAACCGTTAGCGTGATCACAGCTAACATGCTAACGCACGCTAGCTCTCTCCGGCTGAGCGGTGACGTCGTATAATCAAATCAAGCTCTGTTTACTTTTCTCGTCAGAATAAACGGAGCATCCATTTATCTCCAAACACATGCGGCGTGTCGTCCACAAAACGTAGAAGTGATCTGATTACTCCTTAGTTGCTTTTAGCATTTTCAAACTGATCAGGAAGCCATATGCTAAACACCGTTAGCTTAGATAAGTTTCTTGTTCATCTGCACAAAGATTTGTTAGATTACCTAAATCAGTATTATCTAAATTCTGAAGTTTTATTTTATTTTCTCAAATTGTGCAGATACAGCTCTGATATGTTTACCTACTCGTTACTGAAACCTACAGCAGAAATAAGGAGACAAACACTTACCTGTTCACTAGAAAATGAGCCATGTCCGCATCCTTTTTCAGGCCCAAATCCAGTTGAAGCAGCCTCCATTCTTCCAGAGCGTAACCAATAGATATTCGGGTCCCTGACCGACTTTTATCATATTTTCTTTTTAACTCTCAAGATGCCGCTGATAAAACCTTCTTCTTTGTGCCACTTAAGTGGGCTTTGAGTTGCGCTTGGTCGTTTGCTAGTTGTAGAATCCATTTCCAGGGTTCTTCCTCTTCTGTTTGGGGTTTTAACGTGGCTAGTAGTGAAAGACGCATTACCGCCACCCAGCAAGCTTCCAAATGTTTTTCCGGGTTTGAACCTTGTCGAGAACGCGCTTGAAGCATCAATTAACGTCATATCCGTAAAACAGCGCGGGAAATTCGGATCAGGAATGTTTTGCATTTTGCAGCACAAAGCCTGATTAACAAAATGGAATGATTAACTGGTTTCATCATTCTTTTTAGTTTAAAATGCTTCATCACCCATAAGCTTCACAAGAATGAACATGTACTTTTGGTTTTTGGACAATTCCTGCCCCATGCTCCTTTAATGTACCCCACACCTTTGCATTATCTAATTTAGCTTCTATGATTCTTCTATGATAATATAATTGTTTTTTGTTTTTATTCAGTTTGGTTACAACGTTCCTTATTTTGCGATATTCGCACCATGTTTCCAATTGATTTGTTTTTATTGCTTCTAATTTTAATTTGTCCCTCTGCCTCATACGTTCCTTAAGTTCTTTATCCAGTCATGGAGAAGCTACATTTCTTACTGCTTGTTTCCTCATCGGTGCATGTTTATTTATCACCTTTGTTAACAAATTTTTAAAGATCTCTACAGCTTTACCCGGATCCTGCTCCTTTGTTACATCTTTCCAATCTATGTTTCTTATTTCTTCTACAAAATCACTCTCTTTAAAGTTTTTAAAGATTCTTTTATATATAAAGTGTTGACCTTTTGGCACCTTGACTTTTCTTTTAATAGCAACCAAATTATAGTCACTGCAACCAACTGGAACAGAATTGCCTCAGAACATAATTCAGCCATATTAGTAAAAATTAAATCAATACTCGTTTTAGAGCAGACACCATTATTTTTAACCTGCACTCTTGTGAAATCTTTTACAACTTGTGACAAATTAAAAGTATTAGCAAATGAGATTAATTTGCTCTTTAATGAGCAATTTCTTGATTTCCAATCTATGTTTAAGTCCCCTAATAGGTAAATCTCATTTCCTGTGTCACAAACCATATCTAACATTTCACCTATTTGATGGAGATACATTATAGCAGCACCCGGCGGTCTGTAGCAACATCCAACTAAAACAGATTTCAAATGAGGAAATTGTAACTGTAACCAGAGTGCTTCCAAACCTGTAATTGTGAACTCTGTTCTTACCTTAACAGGAATATGATTTTGAATATAAAAAGCAACACCACCTCCATGTAAAGTTCTATCCAATCTAACGAGACTGTACCCATTTATGTCTAATAAAGAACTATTTATTGTCAAATCCAAATTTGTTTCTGTTATTGCCATTACCTGTAAATTATACATTTCTACAATATCTTGAATATCATCTATTTTATTCCTTAAACTATATCCGCGATAAACATCTGTTTAAGTACCGGAAGAGGTTATCTCTGCTTTCTGAATGTCCATATTGCTAGATATGCTGAGTTTTAGGGCGAAATCCTGGGAAATTTCGTCTAGAAATGCAATTTCCTAACCGTGCGCGATCCCGCGGTGGCTAATCATTTTTTGGCAGCGCGTCGATTTATGGCACAACACCGGCTTCGACTCATAACTTGCTCAAGATGAGATGGCAAAGTTAATTGAATCCTCTCCCTCACTCTCGTTGGGCAACCGACTGTCTTCACGCTCTGTGATTGGCCAGTCACATAGAGCGCCCACCCCTCCCTACACACAGAACTCTGCAGCCGGCAGTGTTGCCAGATGTACGATAATTATCGTATTTGTACCATAATTTTGGGCTCTGTATGATGTACGATCAATAGTTTAAAAAATCCTCAAATGTACGATAATTTCACATTGCATCTAGTAACACCATCTTTTGCTGTGGCTTTCCCAAGTCAATTACATAATTTTAAACTGTTCTGAAGTCAGATTTCACCTCAGTGCTTACAGGTTTATAAATGTCTCCTACAAACTAATGAAAAAGAGAAGTTTGAAAATGAAGTGAAAAACGCTGAAATCAAGCTATGTGGCTTTTTAGCCCAGCACAACATTGCAATGAGAAACACAGACCACTTAGTACAGGTGATTAAAGGCATTCTGCTGTGACAGACAGTGAATCAGATGAGGAGATCGAGATCAGCAACTAGGTGAGTAGGCTGCTGTGTCATTTATTGGGTCAGTTTTTCCACTGCTGTGATGTTTTGTCGCGTGCTTTTAACCTATGTAGAAATGAAATAAATAGGACTGCGCAAATGTGCATACTGTGTCAATGCGTGGAGGTCGGAGTGGTGCCGACACTCTGCACGTTTATAGGCATTATATTACTGGTTTTAAAGATGTTTATTTAAACAGGGCAATATAAAACACCTTCTTTGTTATATTATATTGGAGTGAGAAGTCATTTATAGAACGTTATTATCAAATTTATAATGTACGATAATTTGTACTGAAAAACGATAATTTAAGCCTCTCTGTACGATATTGTGGGATTTTGGATCTGGCAACACTGGCAGCCGGGAGCTCAGTCCGTCCGGCCCATCCACGCGCACACACACACACACACACACACACACACACACACACACACACACACACACACACACACACACACACACACACACACACACACACACACTGCCCGGGGATAAACAGAGTAGGAAATGACGCCACCATCAGCGTCAGCTCTTTTTTATTTTATTTTTTTCCCATGCTCTTGTCTGACTGTGAGGCAAACAGAATTATTGTCTGAATGCTGGTAACAAGCCTTACAGTTTTAATCTCAGGTGGAGCATCAAAGCTTCTGCTTTTAATGTCACGCCTGATACTTCAAACTGTATTGTTATTGTGTCTTGAATGCTTTGTAATTCTGACCAGACACGGAGACAGAGGTGAAAGAGAAAAGAAGAGACGGGGGGTGGGGGTGGGGGGGTTCACAAAGGTAGACAATCAATGACGGACAGGAGTCTGCTTCTAGACCTGCAGAAAAGGGACACAACAATACAACAGGAGTAAGCCATCACTGCATCAACTTGATGAAAAAATATATAATCAACATTGTTTTACTAAATCAAATCAACTTTATAAAGCGCTTTCACATGCTCAAAGCGTACACCAATAAAACACAGCAATAAAACAGACTTATATAACCATTAAAATACAATAAGAATTCCCAAGTACAGTTTCGCAATCTATATCAGCCCCGTTTCCAGAATCAGATCCAGAAACATTTAAAGTGACGCCGCCCACCCAATCCCAACTTCAATGTCCAAACACCAATTAGAACAGATGGGTTTTTAGTCTGCTTTTAAAGCTCTCAAGTGACATCGGCTGGCAGCTCATTCCAGAGCCTTGGTCCCAGCACTGAGAAGGCACGGCTCCCACGAGACTTCAAGCTGTACCTGGGCACAGTTAATAGTCTCTGGTCTGCTCACCTAAGGGAACGCACTGGGACATGCCAGTGGATGATGTCTGACGGGTATTTATGTGCTGCCCAGTTTAACGCCTTAAACACAAACAGGATTACCTTAAACCCGATGCGATAGAAGACAGGGAGCCAATGCAAGGCACCTAGGACTGGTGTAATATGTTTAGACCTCCTGTTACATGTTAACAACCAAGCTGCAGAGTTCTGAACTACCTGGAGGCATGCTATTGGAGCTTGCCTAAGTTC